TAAACCAAGATACGGCAAAGGTGGTGAGGTCACTTTTGATGGAAAGCTCGACATTTGGGCTTTTGTCACAGAGTCTCCTGCTCAAAGAACCAGTGAAAACAGAGATAAAGGGACGCTTGAGCTCAAATCATTGAAAGTCACACGAGATGTAATGAGGTATTACATGTGTGAGAAACTTATTCCTGCGATCCAAGAGCGCTGGCCGGACGAAGATGAAGGACGGACAATCTATATCCAACAAGATAATGCCACGCCACATATTCTTTCCGATGACCCGGTTTTCCGACAAGTCATAGAACAGACTGATTTGGATATTAAGTTGCTTCAACAGCCTCCAAACAGTCCCGACATGAACATTCTTGATCTCTGCATATTCAGGTCTCTCCAGTCCCACACTGATAGAAGAGCACCTCAAAGCATCAGGGAACTGATAGAAGGTGTGGAGGAGGAATATCGAAACTACCCGGTTGATAAGCTAGCTAGAAGCTTCGTGACGCTGCAGTCATGCATCCGAGAAGTAATGAGAAACAAGGGAGCGATAAACTACTCGATCCCTCACATGAACAAGGAACGCCGGCAGGCAGAAGGACGACTTCCTATAGCTCTATCTATCGACCGTGAGCTAGTTGAACAGACCATAGCCTTTATAAAAGAGGCAGAAGCAATCTTAGCAGCAGAAAAAGAGCAGAAGCAGCAGGAAAAGAGCAGCAAGAAAAGAGCCGCAGCAGCCTTGAAGAAGCAGAAACACCCTTCGAGTACCAGCAGCCTCCAAGAAGTAGGAAAAGAGAACCTGGAGCCTTCAAGCAGCAGAAACACCCTTCGAGTACCAGCAGTCTCCAAGAAGCAGGAAAAGAGCAGCAACAACCTTCAAGCAGCAGGAAAAGAGCACGAGCAGCCTCCGAGCAGCAGGAAAAGAGCAGCCACCTCCTTCAAGCGGCAGAAACACCCTTCGAGTACCAGTAGCCTCCAAGCAGCAGGAAAAGAGAACCAGGAGCCTTCAAGTAGCAATAAAAGAGCACCAACAGCCTCCAAGCAGCAGGAAAAGAGCAGCTCTTCTTTACTTGGGGTCAGCTAGTGCTACAATCAACTGACAATCGATTCATCTATTCTCTACTGTTGGTTATATTGTGTATTCTGAAGGTACTCCCCATGTTGTCACCCAAATCACCAACATTATCCCCATTTGAGATGCTCAGGACTCGATTGGGGAATTAAGCAAGGGTAGTCAGATGATTACTGGATTACATGGTGCATATACTCCTGGAGTAGATTCAGCAAAGTGTTTTTAAAATCTACTCAAGTTTCTCAACTTACCGGATATAGTCAAGTATCTCAACTTACTGGATCACATCTGACTAATTATATGTACTCCAAACAGAGAGCTTGACTAATTATATCTGACTAATTATAGTTAATCTAATCTTTGTTACATTGATGTACTGTAGAATCTAATCTTTGTTACACTGAATCTTGAGATGCTCCCTCCTTGCTTACTTGAGATGTACTCCTAAATTTGGAGTACTGCATGTGTCAAAACTTGCAAGTTGGAAGAGATTATTTAGGGAATTAAAAAACAAACTTGCAGGTTCAGGACTAGTTTTTAATTAATCATCGATGATATAAAATTGACAGTTCATTTGGCATTTGATGGTCTTCATGTAACAAGAATCCTATGTCTATGAAGAATGCTGGTTCCAAATGAAAATGGGGTCTATTTATAGGTCAAAACTTCCAAATGCATCAGCCACTGCCCAGTTTATGAAACAACCTTGCAGGTTGAGGACTGGTTTTTGATCATCAAAAACTGGGCAGTGACTGTTCAGTTGGTATTTGATGGCCTTGGTATTAAAGGAAGGGATGTTATGTAATGTCAAGAAAGAAAACAGAATGTATGTATTGTTTCAGATGATGAGTTGCCAAAATTCAGGACTACGTAGTTTTGAGATTGCTACTGTAGGTAAGGTAATAAGATTGGATTCAGGATTGGGAGGAGTACCAGGTGATCTTGATGGCAGCAAGCTCCCTCCTTGCTTACTTGAGATGCAGGGCGACCAACCGATCGACGTCGCCAACATGGTCCTCGTGGCCTCCCTATGCCGGCGCAACCCGCAAGCAAGGCGGCGACTAGAAAATGCTCCAGTTCAGTGGCAATGCAGAACTTTTATGCAGTCTGAAACATCGAGTACAACATAGAGCATGGCATCATCATCTAGCAGCAACACTACCATAATGAGTAGAACAAAATTCAGAATATGCAATGGTTCATAACTTAAATGATTCCTGGATGCACTAGTAATTCAGAATATGCAGGAGCACTCAATATTCAGATATGGAGCCCAACATTCAGAGATGAACAGCAGCGCAACATTCACAAGCAGCTCCATGGTTGTTCCTTCAGGCTTGAGCAGGGGTGGAGTACCTTGAGGCTGGAGCAGGGATGGAGCGGCGTCCTCCATAGCGTCGGGGGCACGGAGCGGCGCAGGGGTGGAGCAGCATCCTCCATGGCGGGGTGGAGCAGCATCCTCCATGGCGGAGCGCATCCTCCATGGCGGAGCAGAGCAGGGGTGTCGGGGGCACGGAGCGGAGCAGGCGCAGGCGCGAGGGCACGGAGCGTCGGGGGCACGGAGCGGAGCAGGCGCGAGCGAGGCGAGCTTTGCGTGGTGGATCTGGGAGGGAGAGAGGATGGGGTCTCCCCTGAAGCTCGCGGCCACCGGCGCCAGGATCTTGGCGGCGGTGAAGGCCTCGCATCGACGGAATCCGTCGCCGACTTGAACTCAAAGGTCGAAGCTTGAACCCAATCCGTCGCCGCGGGAAGGAGGAGAGGAGCGTGGCTAGGCCACCGAAGGTGGGGGAGGAGAGCGCGGCGACGCGATAGAAGGTAGGGAGGGGAGGGGAGGGGGGAGAGCGCGGCGGCAGCGCGGCGGCGAGCCGGAGAAGAGCACCGTACGGACCGCGGCGGCCAGCCGGAGAAGAGAGTGAGGTCAAGGACCGTGGGTTCGGTCGGAAATAGATGGAGGGGGTTTTCGCAAAAAAAACGTTGCGACATCTAAATCCGAACGAAGGGAGTATTTAGTCCGTACCGACCTCGTTTACCATTGCACGAGCGAAGGAAGCGCCACACACCACCCAAACCCTTCTAGGCAAGCCCAATAAGGGCATTAATTAGATTGCAATGTCAGTCTGCAATATGTATGGGGTTCTGCTGCCAAGTGACGGTCTTGGTTAATTCACTAAATATTCATTCCACTATTTGCTGTTGTCATCAAGCATTGTCGTCAGAGAGAAATAAGCAAACCATAACCTAAGACTAATTTCTAGGACTTGTCAAAATTACTGTGAAGAATTTTAAGAAGGCATTGAGCAGGATATCCATTCATATACAAGTTCATATACACTTAGTGCTAAAGAGTTACTTGAATATTATGGTTAACAAAATGAAAACACAAAACTAAGCCATTAATTAGTCACTAGCTAGGGAGCAAATGTACCTTGAAAGCTTCGACAGTTCTGGTATGCGTTTTGCTACATCAGCAGATGCTTGGAAGGACCCATGCCAGTGGTACATAATTCTTCCTTGCTGCTTGCCCAGGGTAGTCGACAACGTTCTCATGCAAAGATCCATCAACCAAAGAATACTCACTCCAGTTCCCAGACCACCCAGTAAAGTACAAGCAGTCCCTTCGAACTGCCGGATGATCTGGACCAAGACAACCGGCAAATTCATGCAAATTAAAGAACAAGCTGCAACCGCCAATGCTTTCGGTCCTCGCCCACTTCCTCTCCCCGGACTTCCACCGGAAAACATGGCACGTAGAGGTTCTGACAACGAGCAATAGCTGACCGTGGCACTCTGCGAGCCATAAAGTCGAACAATTCAGAACTGTCTGCGCACTCAGTTTATCTTCAAGAAACGATAACACCACCGAATTGTTGTCAAGCTCGACGGTCGCAAGGCCGTAATTCGGGTAAGTCAACGCATAGAGCGTGCCTTTCAAGGACATCAGACTGTAAAGCTGGTAGCCTCCATCACACCAGGCCGCTCGCCAGTGAGCATCCCCGGTGCGGCAGTAGTAGATGTCAGGCTGCCATCGCGTGAATGCAATGATGAGGTCGCCGGAAAAGATAACTGCGTCACACTCTTCTGGCGGTCCAGGGAGGCGGGCTCCGGCTCGCTTGCCTGTGAGTAGGTGGCGGATGCGGAGGTCGGGGCGGCTGGCGTCTTGGATGGCGACGCGGCAGCCGAAGGAGTGGAAGGAGGTGGGGCTAGGGTTCCCAAGGGCGACGCCGACGCGGGCAGGGAAGAGCCAGCGGAGACAGGTGAGGATGGGGCCCTGGCCGGCGCAAGGGAGGCGGAAGCGGAGGATGCGGCGGAGGGGGACGTGGAAGAGAGCCTCCGAGGTAGAGGCCTTGTGGCGGACGAGGAGGAGCGGGCCCTGCGAGGCGAGGTTGGACGACGACAGCGGGAGGCGTGCCCGGTAGGCGCGGCAGGCGGCGCGGAGGGCGAAGAAGTCCTCGAGGGTCGTCAGCCGGCTCGCGACCAGCGGGATCAGGTCCGGTAGGAAGTGCGGCGAGGACGAGGCGGGGTTTGCGGAGATGGTGGTGGCCGGCGGCGAGGTCCTCGTCCGGCGCTTCCCCCACTTCGCCATTCGTCGCCGCCGCTTGTGCTCCGAGTGCGGCGCTGGGTTGGAGACCTGGTGTGTGCGAACTGCGAATGCTGTTAGGTTTAGATTTTTTTTAGGGGTGGCTGTTAGGTTTTTTTTTTGAGGGGTAAAGCCAAATTTATTCATGAAAGTCCACATGGTGTGGGATACATCGCTGGTCGTGAGACACGCCCAACCAGACGTGTCGTCCCGGATCTCTAGAAAGCGAAAATTTGGCTAAGCTATGTGCTTCATAATTAACAGCACGACTCTCGAAAGAAAAATTACAAAGAAAAGTAGTTGATCTAAGTTTTATCTCTGTGATAATAGCTCCATACGCGCCTCGTGAGTTCTTGTTGATATCTGAGATGATCTGCTGGCAATCTGATGCGACTATGAAATTTTGAATACCCAAATCATCAGCTAGGGACAGGGCTTCCCGACACGCTATGGCCTCCAAAGTGGCCGGATCTACCACTCCCTCCAGGACCAGTGCGGAGCTACCCAGGTAGTTTCCCCACTCATCACGGCATACTGCTGCTGCTGAGCCGCCCCTTCGAGCCATGACTCCAGCGTCGACATGTATCTTGCAGTAGCCCGCAGGTGGTTTCTTTGGCCTCCCTTGGGCCGGCATTGCAGCTCCACTTTTTGCAGCCCCACTGTCCTCCTTAACTGCTATAATATTCAGATCATCCATGAATCTGATGATGAAATTGTGAGTGGCGTGAGGGCTTTGGAATATAGACTCGTGGATGGCTTTCCGACGGGCATGCCATATAGACCATAGTGTTACTGCCATTAGGACAAACTGACCATGTGATAACAACTGCATGAGCGTGAATAGCCACTGTCTTGCACTAGGCTCGCTGTTGTCTATGATTTTATGTGTGATATCCTCATCAATCAAGGCCCAAACACTCCTCGACGCTGTGCACTCCAGCAAAGAGTGACGCCATGAATCCCTAGAGCCGCACAAACCGCACTGATCCGAGTCAGTCATGTGACGGTGAGCTCGCAGGTCATTGGGTGGCTGTTAGGTTTAGATTCTTATTAGGAAGGCCGTTAATGATCCAGGCCGGGCTGGACCTAGTGTGTGTTGGGCTTGGTTCGTTGAATTTCACAAAGGGCTTTCTCTCGAAACAAAACAAAAACCTGAAAATTGATTCCACTAGCTTTTCAGAAGTTTCACCTAAAATTGCAGATCGGCTGCTGGAACTTTTTCACCGCCAAGAAATACCATAGTTTTAAATAGCTGGCTATAGCCCGCTATTGATTTTTCAGTAGGGTGCCGTTACATGGTCGCTTTCATAAATAGCCGCTATAGCCCGCTATAGCTGATTTGAAGGCCTACCGCTATTTTCCATAGCCCGCTATTTAAAACATTGAAAAATACTATGGAGCCAGAGAGCTAGCTAGACTGGAATGGCTTTCACACGGCAACAAAAATACTTCTTTTTTTTCACCTCACGGCAAGTCGTCGTCGAAGGAAGAACCAAATCAAGATGCTGCAACTCCCTGATGGAAGAGTGACGGAGGATACTACTGAACTGGAATATATGACCACATCCTTTTATTCCGTTCAGACGGATTTCCAACGCACTTCTTTCAGAGTCACTCGAAAGTTTGCAAAGAAGAGGAGACTATAGCAGTTCTCAGGATTGTGGAGGGCACCGAGTCAGCTGAGTGCATCAATGATACTCCATTAGTACTGATCTCAAAGGTTAAAAAAATCTGACTTTGCTTACACAATTTTGTCCCATCAGTTTATGCAATGTTCTATACAAAATTGCATCGAAAATTGTTTACAAGCACCTAAAGCTATTACCGCCAAAGATTATGTCAAATGAACAGTCAGCTTTTGTGCTGGGGGGGGAGGGGGTTAATTACTGTCAACGTTATTGTTGTGTATGAATGTCTCCACTTTATGAAAAGGAATAGAGCAAATAAATGTCTCCACATTATGAACATTATTGTTGCTCGCATTATTTGTAAAATCTAGAAAAATGTATAATAATTCACATGTAAAAATATATATTCATTTAAAAAATTCAAAGTAAAAAAACAATAAAAATCAGGTACGACAGTCGCTACAGTACCGGTTGCTGCAGCAGAACTCAAAGATGATACATCGCTCCACTGCTAGATGGCTACGAAATGCCCCCTGTGCGTCGTTGCTCTATGGGGTTGTTTGGATACGGGATTTATACCAAACCTGTTTCCACTAATCACGTTTAGGATTCTAACCACCTAAAACTATGTTTGGTTGGTCCACCCAATCTCGGGATAAGGAAAACTTGGTTTCGCATAAACCAGAAAAACGAGTATTTGGAAAAACGACTAATCGTTGTTTTTGTACAAACCAGTTTAGTACTACATCGTTCGTTTCAATCGCAGACGAGATTGCTTCCATGAGACCTCGTTTCAGGTGTACTACGGCAAGGATAGCCCCGTTTCAGGTGTCCTGGCAGCTGCTCCTCGGTGAGGACGACATCGGTGTTTCTCCTGTGACCGTGGGCTTGCTCGGCGCCGCTGCGGCCGCCGCCCTGTAGATGGCTTTCCTGAAAAGCAGCGGGCAGCGTCCAGTACAGCAAGGTCACAGCCGATTCCAGGTGGTGGTGTGAGTGCCACGGCTGCTGCTCCCTCCACTGTCGACGACGTAGTGCAAATCTAGAACGCTGGTGCCGCCGGCGAGCCCACCATTCTTACCGTCAGAGAAGCAGCGGCTGGGGCAGGCCACGGCCTGCCTCCTCAAGGAGCAGCCACTCGAGCCCTGTTCCGTGCTCGCACCATTCAGCCTCGACAACACCTACCTCGCCGCAGCCGGCCTCCGGCGAGCTCTTTTGAGTCGCTTATAGATTAGCTAATGAAACGATCGGCGTGCAACATAC